GAAGAAGATAAAAAGTCAGCCGTATGTAAGAGTTTGATATGGATTGCTAGTAATCATCTGTCTTTGTGCATTGCAAAGGGTACTTGGTCATTTCTTTGGCCACATGGACTTGTGTGTGACAGTTATGCATTTTCTATATTGTCTGTGGGTCAAAATATGCTTTTGATAAAGACCTGAGTATCGAAATTTTCAGTTCTTGTTCAAATTGCTCAACTTTTTATCTTTGACCTTATCTGCTTCATACGGATATAATGGGTGTCTCCAATTATCTTCTGTCATGAATTTTCCATGTCAAAGTTTATCCTGTAATTCTTTCTGAAGGTACTTGTTAATGCTTGCTTTGCTATTTCCAGGGAACGATGCTTGTAGAGATCACTGCAGCATCCTCTATTCCTGTCGCGACTGAGATGAATCAAGGTTGCCCTGCATCTGATGCTTGGTTGCTGCTTGAAAGACTCGGCAGATGTGGTTCAGCTCAGCATCAGCATCAGCATCAGCAGAATTCTCATTTGAATGCCATCGTCTTGTCCCCTTGACTGGAAATATACTCTTGATGGGGGCTAAGGACCATAGAAGCCTGTAAGAATCAGGACAAACCAAATTTTGGTGTTCATGTACAACCGGGGTGCAAACACCTCTGCCCTCTATTCATCCCGCACTTATGGATCTTTCTTACTAGTTTTGTATTCTACAAAAATTGTTTTGAGTTTTATAAGCATGACACGTGATTCCAGTTTGGCATCATATATCCTTCATTTCAGATGAGAACTTGAACGAGGACATAAAATACTAAAGGCGCTGCAGAAAATTTGTAAAGCAGCTAAGGTGGGGGAAGAATGCAGACGGAAAATTGAGGTGCCAAGCGCGCTTAATCTGCATTCGCATATCAACCTTTTAGATGCTTTTAGTTTTAAGTAACATCAAAAGTATACAGGCATGAACATAAACTACATGGAGAAAATGTATTTTAGCAGCTTGAATCATTGAATCAATAATGTTGCAGCCCTTAACGTAAGAAGCATATGCATGGACTGGACAATATTTGTCCAGAGACCAGGTCTTTAGGTCCTTTCAGCAGCTTGGAGAATATGGAATCCTTTTGCATAGATAATAGAAGAAAGCCTACGCTTCACATTTGAGCAGGTGGCCGATCATGTACATGCACAGATCGGAAATAGTCATTTGCAGAAGACAATAGCATTAGAACTACAAAGTTATGCTGAACCAATCTAAACACACGCGTATGATTAAAGAGACTAACCAATACTAAACAAGTGAGCAAACATTTAGCTACCAAGATTTCTCCAAAACAGAACTGAATATTCATTTCCTACCACATCAGTTGACGATTTTAGCATGCAAATTCTAGTAAGTTAATCATTTCCTAATTAGTAATTGTTCGCCACTTTGGGTTAAAAGAAGCTCATAAAAGTACAACAACCACCAAATGACGAGTATTACTATTCCGATTATGAATCCACTGTACTTATCAGTGAAGAGTAGGCTAAGTAAAGTAGAATTCACGTTGCTCTCTCTTGCATTAACACCATTTAAGATAGTAAGAAGCTCAGATAACTGTGACTAGATTACAAGAAAACTCAGACAAGCCAGCCTGTTCTGCTATAGCTTAAGGATGCAAAAATCCAGCACACTGTATCTCACAAAAGCTTAAAAAGACAACAGCAACTGCAGTGCTCCTAGAGATGGCAGTTCTAGCACCAAATGAAAACATATTAAGTCATGAAGGAAAAGTCATTTAAGAAAGCACACTATATGCAACAAAAGGATGCAAATTTCTTTAGACAAAGCGAAGCAATTTAATCAGTCAGAATGCGTAATTTTCTCTATTTGCCTGAGCATTTTGGATGTACATTACATATCATAATGCCAACAATTCAGCAAGAATTTAAGACATGACCAGTAATTGTCCTGTTCTAGATCTGCCAACTACCACCTTTAGTTGTGGAATACAGCAAATTACCTTAATGTCCATATGACAAATTGGAAATCAACAACTTTTAACTCCAAGACAATCCCACAAGGTTATAAAACTTGGATTTTAACCAAATTTGTTAATGCTGCAATATGACAAAGTCAGAAACAAAAAGCTTGTAATAAAGACAAGAAACAAGAATCTTCCAATCTTTTCTTCTCTTTGAAAAGTACCAAATTTCTTTGTGAAAATCCGAATGCATTCTGTAAATTTACAAGTATACATTTAATGGACAAACAGTTGGATCCATGACCTCCAACTAATAGTACAAAAATGTATCTTTCTTTGCCAAATGCTATATGGTTATTCCTTTTTTCAGTAGAAGATAATCAGAGTGCAGCATCAATTTAAGAATTCAAAGCCGATGTGTTGATGGGCACATTTAGTATTTTATAGCTAACAATCACAAATCTCTTAACTTTGGCAGAACCCCGTTCTTACAGGTTTTTCAAATTAAGTTACCCACACCAGGGGAAAAAAATCAGAAGAAGTTCTAAGAATATATGTCCTCCTATGTGGTATATCAAAATGCTTGGAGAAACTACAACTGAGGTTTTCCTAGAGATAGCTATTCTAGCATGATCTCCACTCAAATTGATATGCATAGGTGCAGACGTTCATAAAGGCACAACGATATAGGCAACTCAATCATGCAACCTCATCTGTTCAGTTTAGAGTGCATGATTTTCTATATTAGGTTAAAGAAAATTGAAGTTCAAAAATATGATACATATTCTAATGCTCAACCTTAATTGACATAATTTAAGGATATCATTGTTGGTCATCTTATTTTAAATTTGTACACAGCCAGCCCCGACTTTTAGACTACTGCACAACAGTATAACTTTATATTACAAAATCGAAATCAACAATTTTCAAACTCCAGATATTTTTTCCAAAAAAGAAGAAGAATAAGAAGAAAAACCTTGGTGCAAAAACAACAAAACATTCATTGTGGGTAAAAGACACAAGGGCAGTTAATTTCATATTTTCCTACTTTTTCTTCTTTTACTGCACATGCGAAATTCAAGTGAAAAAATATCTAACGCATCCAGTAATTTCACAATGGTTATTGACTGATGTGTATGTCTTCTTTTTCTATGGTTACTTGTTTAATTCCTTTTAGCAGAAGATAATTGAGTCTGTTAGCATCAAAATCTCAAAGCTATACATTGATTGTGCACATTTAGCTTTCCACAGCTTACCATCACCCAAAATCGTAGGCCCTTAGGGTATTTTCATTTTTTCACATTCTTCTCAAACATCAGCTTTAGATTAATTGCTCCAACTTCTAAAAAAAATGAAGTTTACTTGAAAAACCACCAAGGACTTTTTAGATGAGGCCTAACTTATTTGGCAGGAAAATATTCCCCAAGCTGATAACTGGAATGATGAAAAGCTTGATTCCAAAGTTGATTCCCATCAACCTTCCCACTTCTTCTCGCAGAACAATTAAGTCTATACCAAAACCTATGGTGGGATTCTCATGTCAATGAGATCCAAGCAGTCAGCTTTTTTTGGCAGCAAAAACTTTTATTAGTTGTGTGATTGTGTACCCATGACTTAGTTCATAAAGTTTCCATTATCCTTTCAAAATCTTTTCTCCGTTTCACCTTTTGTTCATCTTCTCTCCAATTCTGATCTAAAATAAACTCCCATGGCTATTCAATTCTTTTATTTGACTTCCAAAAGTGACTTTGAGATCTTTATGTTTTATTCATGAACTTTTCTGTTTCCCACCACATTGCTAAAATGCATACCAATTACCTGTATGTAGTATTCTCTAATCCATAAAAGCATTTCAGTCTCTTATGTATATAGCTAGGGCGAAAAAAAGTAAAAATCTGGTATGTAACTTTTTGATCATTAAACACTGTACTTTAAAAGCAAATTTTACAAATAATCTTTAGAGATTTAATTAAGAGTTCTTCAGGAGTTGTTCACTTTACCACGTTGTATTCATCTTTGTTTGCCTTTAGAGGCTACCATGTATTGATTTCAATTTAGCAACATTTGATGAAAGGGAAAATTAATTCTGATTCATACAATTAACAGTTCAAGTTGTACTTCTATACCCAGAGAAGAAACCATAGTTTAAGTATTTAATATATGTTTTCTGACCAATTGAAAAGTGATGTGATTATGTACATAGTTCTTATTCTTTAATACTTTTCCATGCCATGCTTTGCCTCTTGAAATCTTAACGGTTTAAGCATTAGGGGACACAGAAGTGGATTTGTAAATGTAAATAGCTTACATAGGGACAGTAATAGCAATCACCAAAGAGGGCCATAAAACAATTTTCTACCATGGGTCATTTCTTCTCACTAAAAAGAAAAAACAATATATATATGTATATGTATATGTATATATTCAGAATAAAGATCATTTTGACCACAACTTTTTCACCTTGGGACAAATATCAATATTTGTAAGATTTTGACCACAAAAATGTATGGAAAAACTTATTAATGCTTCAATGCCATCGCTTCGAAATAGTTATTTGCAATTTGTACAACCACATACCAAGGTCTACATACATATTCTTTTGTATATTGATCAACTTATAGATTTCACACTCACATGTCATGACACTGAAAACAATATCAACCAAATACTGGACTTACTATATCTGGTCTTCAGATAAGAAAGACAAAAAAATTACGACAACAGTGAAAAATTGAAGAAATAAGAAGGCACTCATGTTTATCCAAAAAAATTAGGCACTAGTATTACTTTCTATTCTGTATATCACCTTGATCAATTTACTGAGACCCTAACACATTAAATACATGTTATATGGGAAAGAATGGAGATTAAAAACATTGCATGAAGCAGTCAATATCATGCTGTTCAAAATCTTGCTTGCTTTTATCACACTGTTAGCACAGAAGTTTAGTTTACAAGTGTTAAGGACGTCTATCTCCTTTTTGGTATGTGAGCTCTGATGAAATAAAGATTGCACAAAGAATCCCACCCCCACTCCAAATCCTCCACCCCTTAATTAGTTGTCAAAAACATTCAATTATTGAAATACAGAAAAGGAAGTACATTTATAGACTATTAAATGTATAACCGTTTCTCGGATTTCAAAAGTTTTCCTCCTCTCAAATTTTTACACTCTTTAGATCCGGTGTAGTATAAAAAGAGCAGGCTATGCTTCTTCCTTGGTACAAGAAAATTAATCCCAAAGTACATTTGCTATACACACACATATAGCTTCCTGCATATTTTCACTTATCTTGTCTAACATGAAAAGAGCCGTGTTTTACCATTTTCTCAAAACAAAGGCAAAAGAGGAAGAATGCATCAGAAAGGGTCAGAACCCTCATGTCCCTGAATGGCAAATGGTGGAGAAAAGAGCTGGCACTCCTAACACCATAGAAAATTTCCTATTCCCGTGGGAGATGAAGTACGTCATCACAACGAAAGACCTGGGGTTTTCTTTTGAATTGAGTCCGAAGCACGTTCAGCAGCACATCCTCAAATACTGGGCCGAATCTGATATATCAAGGTTGGTGAATGATAGAGAGGAAAAGCGACTCTTAATACGTGATATGGACACAAACACCGAACACCGCCTTAGTTTGACATGTGAAGAATCTGGGAGATTCACTATCCAAGGAAACTGGAACAAGGAATTTGTGGAACGACGGAATCTAAAGAAGGGCATGTTGGTTGGCCTGTATTGGGACATTTATTCATCAAGTCTCCATTTATCTGTCTTGGACAATATAGGACATTAAAAAGATATCCAGGAATGAAATGTTTTCTAAGTGTATGCTTACAATTTAAAGGGTCTAAATCATGTATAAGGGGGTGAGTTTCATCTCCCCCAACCCTACCCTGTTCAAGTCCCCAGCAACCCCCACCTTTCAATGATGGGTCCTTTATGAATATGAATTATCTTGTGTTCATTTAATGTCACAAAGGAATTATCTGTCCACCTTTAGTGATAAAAATGTCTAAAAAGTGAATAAAAAGGCTAAATAAGAAGAGGATAAATGATCCTTTGCTCTCTCCAATTTTCCCTAATGGATTTGATTTTCCTCTCCCATAATGAGATTCCTACCATTTCATCTAATGTTGAATTTTCTGTAATCATTAAAGGCAAAAAGAAACCAAAAGCAAAAAAAAAAAACAATTAAGGGCTGTGGCAAAATGGGAAAGAAATGATGAGTTGGGGTCTTAAATGTATTTAATCTACAGCTTCTCATCTATAATGCACACACAAGGATTCCTCAAATGTCAATATGTGTGGGTGTTTATGTGGAAATGTATATAAGACTTACATCTGAAAAAATTTTTGTCGCAGTCTAGTCAATTTCTTGCAGTCTTAGAAGTTGGAGAGATCTTCTTGAACTAGAAAAAATCCGGAGAGCCGAGTGGTTGGTTCCTTTCAGCAGATTCTTGGAGGTGTTGCCTTTTCTTTGCAATGACTAAGAGTGTCTCCAAGTTCACATATAAGCAGGTGCTTCATCAAATACATTAAACACACAATTACAATCGACGATATTAAAAGTAAATACAAATTATGTCTAAAACAAGTTGTCTGGACACGAATGCGAAGTCAAGAGCAAACCTAGACATACAAATACCATGGAGCTATCAAGATTTGTTACACACAAAAGTTTAAATAGTGCCAAATTTATCACTCCATTGCATTTACAGATCTCTACTCATTGTCTCACTACTACATCATTCAGTATATTTGCCTGATATGAAATTTTAGTAAATTAAGCATTTATACATGACCAAAAAATCGACAAATACCTAAAATTCAGGTAGAGAGCTATTTAACATTAATGAAATATAGAGTACCCTAAGTCATCATAAACTCCCTAATGCTTAAGACACTCAAGTGATCAGAACTCTCCTGTCAACTTTTGGCTAACTATTAAACATGTGATGAGTTAACAAACTTGCAAAAAGCCTACAGTAGGTATAACCTTTGGCAGCCATATCCATTCAAAGCAGTGAAAACACCATAAAGAAGCAACTTCATGTTGAAGCTTTAGAACAAGCAAAATGGTATGGCCACAGAGAAATTAGATTTCTACTGTTTGCATACTTTGCGTCTTCATCTCAAGCACTCAAATCATCTACCAATAGTCTTTGCATGAACAAGTACCATTCTTAAAACAATGGAACCTGTTCCTGTCACGCACAACAATCTCTCGGTTAACAACATCAGATATCAGTTTAAAAGCAGCATGACAGTCTTCACATACACGAAGATTCTTCATTATCCTAATAGTTTCTCCAGGTGGTGTGTTTATTATTCCAAAAACTAATGCTAACTTTTCACTATGGTGGTACAGAATCTTCTCTTTTTCTGCCTCTTCTATATCCAATAGAACTACCGAAGTGTTTGGTACATAACCTTTCAGCCTTAGTTGCTGAAGCAAATTTTCCCAACTTGCATATATTTCCTTCACTTGAGGATGACTTTCATCACAAGCCACAAACTCATGGACCAATCCTGCCACAGTGATTGAACTCTGACCAGGTGTCTTCTTCACCCCTTGATCTCTCATCAACTTCCTAACTTTTGCAGCATTCTCCCATTTCTTTGCATTTGCATAAATGTTTGACAAAACCACATAATAGCCATCATTATGTGGGTCTAACTCATTGAGGTGAACTATAGCTTCTTCAGCCAGTTCAATGTTATTGTGGACCCTACATCCACCGAGAAGAGCACCCCAAACAACCGCATTTGGCTTGAGAGGCATGTTCTTGATGAACTGACGTGCCTCTTCAAGAAGACCGGCACGGCTTAATAGATCAATCATACAACCATAATGTTCAATGCGCGGAGCAATTCCATAATCCCTGCTCATGCTCACAAAAAATTCCCTCCCCTTCTCTACTAACCCCATATGACTACACGCATGCAGGAGCCCAATAAAAGTGACCCCATTGGGCTTTGTTCCCGTCTGAACCATCTTGGAGAATAGTTCCAAAGCTTCCATAGCCTGCCCATGCATTGCTAGCCCTTGAATCATGGCAGACCATGAAACAATAGTTCGTTCATCCATATTCTCAAAAACAACTCGAGCAGCCTCTAGACAACCACACTTGATATACATATCAATCAGGGTATTACAAATACGAACATTTCTTTGGTAACCACTTCTATTAGAGTATTCATGGATCCTCCTCCCAAGATCAAGTGCACCTATATCAGCACAAGCTGCAAGAACAGCCACCACAGTTACCTGATTAGCTCGCAATCCTGCCCCTTCCATCTCCATGAAAAGTTCAATAGCCTCTTTGGGCTTCCCACACTGAACAAATCCTGCAGCCATAGCAGTCCATGACCTAACACTCCTCTCAGGCATTTGCTTGAACAACTGAGATGCTGCATTAATATCACCCCTCTTTGCAAATTGTGTGATCATTATATTCCAAGTCACGACATCTCGCTGATGCATTTTATCGAACAACAACTTAGCATCACCTATTTTCCCACAAGATGCATATAGGTGAACAATCATATTTTGCAAAAACAAATTTGATTGAAATCCAAGCTTCTCCATGTAGTCATGAACATTTCTCCCGTGTAAAAGATCCAACAATTGGACACAGGCCTTGAGAACATAAGAACAAGTAAAACTATCTGGAAGCACATCATACTTCCGAAGTTGACAAAACAACAAAATTGCATCAAATGGAGAGCTACTCTCAGCGAAACTCCTTAAGCAGCCATTCCATACGGTAACTTCAGGTTTATTAACACAGTGGAAAATTTTTTGAGCATGAGGAAAGCTAGAACTGAAAGCACACACTGAAGCAACTCGGGAAAGTGGAAGAACTGAAAGAGGAGTACTAGTCTTGATGAGAAGGGCTTGGACTTGTTTTAACTCGGATGGAGAGTTGAAGTTGTAAAGAAGACTGCTTTTGTCATAGGACGTCCATACTGTGGTTCCATTGCTGGTTTCATGCAGTTTAGGGCAGGAGAGTGTGTTGGGAGAAGACAGAACAGCAAGACAGTGAAGCATTTCAAAGATTACACCACTAACATCCTCAGCAAGGCTTGGCTGCTTGCCACTAAGTCCAGGCGTTCTATCCAAAACTCAATCAATCAGCCACGGAATATCTACTCCAAAGACAGCAAAAGCTAACCAAATCAATTAATTTTACAACAAAAGCACGGTGCTAAACCATTTCCCACAAAAAGCATATTGAGTTATCATCCAAAAGAAAGACTTTAACAGAATACTTAATTTCACTGGGAGTTAAATGTATTGTATATAGTGGTGTACTTCTTGTGAGAGGGGATTACGAATGCTGAAGTCCAATGAAAATTCGGATGCGTTTGGTAAAACTAAAGTCTGAAAATTGAAATATGAATCCATTAAATCATTGAATTGTTAAGTATTAAATCAAATATATTTGAGTATATATCATGTTCAGTGATACTTAAAAAATTCAGTAATACTTAATTAATTCAGATGTTCAATTTTTTATTATCAAATATATTTGAATATGTTAACAGTTTGAGTACTGAATTGCATTATTATCAAACAGGACCTTAATCACAGTCCTCGTATTAGAATGAGCGTTTGATTCTCACAGTCTCTTTCCTTCTGAAACAATCATTAAATCAATTATTGATAATTGTTCTTCAGTATTGACAAAACTATTACCATTGAGCAGATTAAGCAGCAAACTGTTACAGATTAACCAGGCTTAAAATCAGTTAAAGGAAGGAAACAAGAATTCTATCCACCATGTTAAAGTATAAAACTCAAATGGCTAATATAAACAGAACCCAGAAAAAATAATTAGAAATGTCGTCTGTATCATCAAGTCAAATCAAGTTAGCAATAAAAAAACAGATTTTGGAATGAAAAGATTACCTTGCAGGCCAGAATTGGCGGAGATGAGGAGTTTGAGGACTGTTTGTTTACCGGGCCGTTGATGGGGATGAAGGGTGTCTGGATAGCGTGCGAAATGCAAGAAGAATAACCGGCTTGAGTGATTGCATGGTTGTTTTTTGGGCGTACTTAGATAAGTAGGTGTGTACATGAGATAATGTTGCATATTTGAAGAAAACATTTCCATTAAACCTAAGCAAAAGCACAAACGTTTAATCTTGCGATTAATCATTCTCACACCATGTTAGTGTAAGAATTTGTTTATAGGGGCGGGTTTGGATGAATACCACATGTGTATAAGAAGGATTTGAAATTCATATATGATTGCATTTGAATAGAGGGATTTGACAAAAGATTTGAAATCTTCTTAAATTCTTCTAATTGTGTAGATTATTTATGAGGTATTTGAATTTGTAAATCATAAATTATTATAGTGTTAAAAATGTATTTTAACAACTAGTGAATTATGAAATTAAATGCCTTTTAAATGATTCAAATAACTTGAAAGATTTAGGTGGATTTTAAATCCTTCCTCAAATTCTTCAATCAAAACAACTAGAATGACATGTGTGTTATGTGTATATACCTACTAATAAAAAAAATGTAATATTGTAGGAAAGATTAATTCTTATTTTTAATATAAAGGAAAAGAGCACAAAAGGTAAGAGTGATAAAGGGATAGATCACAATGCAAATATCAAAATTTTATATGATATAATTGACTCACAAGTAACTAGGTAAAAAGAACATGGGTGAGGGTTGGGTTAGGTTGTAAGATGAGAGGGATTGTAAGTAGGAGGTTTTGGGATTAATAAGTTTTACTAAATTAGTTTACCTTCATATTTGAGTTTTAAAATCACTCCTAATAAAATTGAAATTCAAAACGTGTACACCTGACGTACATCCATAACCAATAACGTAAACAAATAGATTAATAATGCTTTGCTCCCTTGAACTATAGGGGTAGCCCCATTTCGCCCCTCTAAACAAAGAAATATATATATGCACTTTACCCCTATCCTAGTAAATGTTGGGCCCTCAAAACATATGAAAATTTTGCTTTTAACTTTGCCCTTTATATTTTTCACACATTGTTCCCTTCAACCGCAAAAATCTACAGTTTGCTTTAATAATTAGCAACTCTATATATTATATATTAAACTGATAAGAAAGTTATAGTATAATTATAATACTTAAAACTAACATACTTTTCACCAAAATATTATTGATGAAAAATACCACATGTGCATATGTATGTATGTATACATATATATATATATATAATAAATTTGCTATATAATTACTTTACTATCAACATTTCCTTGCAATGTATTTTTGTAAGTTTTCATCAAGATAGAATTAAAAACTTCCATAGTAAAAAAACATGCTATAAATAATCTCATGTGCCATAGTATCTTTTGAAATATATAAAATAAACTTTCAAATCTTTAACCTCAAAAAATTAAAACAAAAACAAGTTACATAAAAATTTAATAAATTTGATATCAACAAAACAAATATTGTAATTTAAAAACATATTTATATATGTTAGGTTAATTAAGTAAAAGCATGTAATTGTTATTTTTTTATGTTTAAACTTATATTGAACATTATCTTTTGATGCTTAGTTTTTGACAAGTACTTTTAAATTTTTTGTTGATAATGTTTTGTCAACATTTTGTTAATATCAAATTTACTTAATTATTGCATAACTCTTTTTTTATTCTTTGAGGTTAAAGATCTTAAAGTTAGTTTTAAATATTTCAAAATATAATTTGTAAATATTATTTATAGCACATATTTAACTATATATGTTTTTAAGTCTATCTTGAAAAAAAAAATTACAAAATTTTGTATTGTAAAGAAATGTCACACAAAGTTTATTTTGAAGAACTATATATATGATACTTTTCATCAATAATGTTTTAGCATAACGTCTGTTAGTTTTAAACATTAAAATTATATTATAACTTTCTTATTGATTTAATATATTATATATAGAGTTGTAATTGTTAAAACAAAGTGTACCTTTTTTTTGGACTAAAGGGAGGAACAAAGTGAGAATAATACTAAGGGCAAAGCAAAAAGAAAAAATTTCACTTGTTTTGAGAGCCTAACATTTACTAATGTGGGGGCAAAGTTTATATTTTTTTTTTCAGGGGGCAAAATATTACTACGTCTATAGTTCGAGGGGGTAAAGTGTTATTAACCTTGAAAAAGTCACTATATTGTCGGTGCGTACAAAGTAGCAGGAAAATCACAAAAGGTTCCCTTAAGGTTTGTAGTGTTTTGCACTTTACTCTGTAATGTTATCATTTTGGCACTTTATCCCCTTAACTAATAGTCAAAGCATTCAAGTAATAACTGTGTTGATAGTTAACAAGTAAAGGGCAATGATATCCTTGATAAAATAATGGATAGACAAAACTACCTACGAATTTAGGTCATGCAATATTTTTTTCCAAAAATACCCTTTTAAGGGGGGAAAAAAGACCACTCTTACTAATGTATTTTGCAAAGGAAAAAAAGAAAATCATATGTTTGATGATACTATTTTTTTTTTTTGTTTTACAACTTGTTTTGGGTAAAGTTAAAAAAGACATTAATTTATTGTACAAATTATACCTTGTAATTTGAACATCCAAAAAATCTTCTTCGGGGATTTTCTAGTGTTCATGATTCTCTTAAAAGGTGCTATTTTACCACATCCACAGGTTTTTTGATTTGGTTCTTTTAGATGCTGTGATGAACAACATCTAGAGGAAAAGCAATGCAATGAATCTGAAGAAGTTTGAGACTTTTTTTCCCTTTTTCGGCTGCAAATGTAGGACTTGGAAGTTTAAAAGCTCTGATGAATGGGGGCATTTGCACCAGAAATTTTAACAGTTTAAACAGGAGGCATTTTCATCTAGTTCAATATTTCAACGGATCATTTGCTAAGATGGACTAATAGAGGGGATAAAATGCGAAAAAGATAACGTTAGTGGATAAAGTACAAAAACACCACAAACCTTAAGAGGACTTTTCATGATTTTCCCAAAGTTAATCTAAATAAAAAAGCTGGTTGATAACATTTTGGCCCCCGAACATAGGTAGTAGTCACACTTTACCCCTCTGAACTTTAAATAAATACCTTTAATCCCTCATGAAGACTAGTGAAAGTTTGAAATATATAAAAAAAAAAAGCAAGTACAATGATATTATTGCCCTTTTATTCATGAAATTATTTATAACTTAATATCATTTCCTTTCATCGCCAAAAGATTTATATCTTCTCTATCGTATCAATTATATGAAAATATTAAACTAAATAAAGTTAAAGAAAGTTAATATATAGTTTATATCCTTGAAATTTTTCCTGTTAGATTAATGTTTACTTCTCTATATGTTTTGTTCAATTTATTAGACTTTAAGTCAAACAAAACGGATACATAACACAATACTGAAAATAAATACAATTGCCAAAATTTATATTAGGAAGAGATTTGGTATCTGTGTTTATTTTAGTGTTGTGTTATTTATTCTTTTTTTGTTTGACTTAAATTATAAAAAATTGAAAAAAGCATATATAAAAGTTAATACTAACTGACGGGAAAAATTTTAAGGATATAAACTAAATTTAAATTTTATTTAGATTTTCCCAATTTGATGTTGTTGGCATAAAAAAATCGATGAAATTTTAGTTTAGTGGCTGAAGTTGAGATCCCAAAACCTAGACGTTTTAGATTCTAATTCCTCTGTCCTCTCCTCGTTTCTTAAATCTTATCCCTCCCATGCTAAAATTTTTTTTAAAAAAATGGTTAATAGATAGAGAAGATGTATATTTTTTTTTTAGTAATAAAAGGAAATGATGCTAATTTCATGAATAAATGGACAATACTGCCATTGCACTAACTTTTTTTATATTTTTAACTTTGACTAGCTTTCATGAGAGTAAGGGCCTGTTTAGGGTTGCAGTAACTTATTGAAAAAGTACTTCTCTAGTAGAGCTTCTAATATAAGTTCTTATCAACTGCTTAAGTGCTTTTAAATATATTGTTTGGAGACATAATTCAACAAGCACTTATTGTATTAGATAACGTGTAATTTGAAAATTTCTAAAAGTGTTTATCTCTTTATTTGGTTCATAATATAAAATAAGATGATTATCATAAAAACTACTCTAAAAGTACTTAATTTGAGTTTTTGCTAAAAATACTTTTAACACCAAAAATTCTACTCTTAATTTTATGGGATAATATTCACCAAATGCTTTACAAGCATTTTTAGCACTTAAAAGTTTTTTTTTTTTTTTACTAAAAGTACTGCAATCCAAACGGAGCCTAAAATATATATATTTAAGGTTGACAGGGATAAAGTGTAAGTACCCCTCAGTTCAGACTTCAGAGGGACAACGCGTTATCACGCCTAAAAAAGCGCATAAATTACATGGGATTTGGAACATCAGTGCTGATTTGCTTTTTGGTATTAAAAGCACTTGTTTGAGCCAAGAAGCAATTGTTGACCTTTTCGTGTGCTAGCAACGGTTACATGAACACCATTGACATCTATGAACCCCCAAAGTTAGGTGTAACGGTTTGAAATTGACACTACTATTTCCACATCTGGTGCCTTGGAAAAGATGGTAAAAATATATTGTCACTTGTCAGTTAATAATATCTACGACGAGGGTAAAAATGGATTGTTCATTGATAATATCTACATTAATAGTAAAAATTTGATTGTCAATTTCTAATGTCTACATTATTTCTATTCTAACTTACTTATATTAGGGAACAACCCAACTGGGTCCATATCATCGTCAACTCTCCTAAAACTAGTTGATTGCAAAGCTTCTACTCAAATAAACTTGCAAAGAAAACTCATTTCCTGGTAATTTACTTTTCCTTCAATATATAATTTGAAACAAAGTCTAGGAATAAAGAATTGAAAAAGCTGGAAAAATTGATACTCTCTTCGATAGTCTTGTATTCCTTTTTCATCTGTCCCAAATTGTAGTCCACTTTCCAATTGAAGAATGTAGTTGTATTTTAATTTTTCTAAAATACCCTTATTCAATGTAAGTAGTTGTTACTATAAACCTACCCCAATTAATGAGAGTTGATTCTTTTTTTTTACCATCAATTCAAGTTTCCATAAAATTGTACCATATT